GCATTTGCCTGTCTGGATGTCCTGCATGTGTTTCAGTCTGACCCCTCTCCTTCCCCTGTGTGCAGAGGCCTTTGAACTGCTCTGAAAGTGATCTGTGCCATATGAATGGAGCAGATGTGACCAAACCCGATTTGGTTTCAATACTTCCTCACAGGAAGTTCAGACAGCCTGCAGCTCCTTTGTCAAGTTAATTATTGTTTTTCTTGTCACTCAGGGTCAGAAAACTGGTTGCCTACTTTGACCATCAAAGGACATTTAACACTGCCTTCTTCAGTTTTAACTCAAATAAACAAACATTGATGCAGATGAAGTAACATAGGCCTACCCTTTGAGCACTTCGACCATAACAATTGTCAAAACAGCATGGTCCCAAAATGGTTTCCTCCGAAGAAACACACTTGTGACACAGCACAAGAGATTCAGAATGAAGCCACAAAGTGCTCACCTGAAAAGGTCTAGGGGTGCTTCTATACATTTCTACCTGTTCACAACTGATTAGGGTCCCCTGTTAAACATGCTCCAAAATGGGTAGTTCCTATCCCGTCACACTAGCAAAAAACGTTGTTGAATTTGATCTAGAATTTACCACGTTTTTTTATGGGATGGCTCTCGACTCATTACATGCACACAATAATGCGATTATTGTGTTTAGTCTGATTAATATAATAATAGTTCGATTAAAACGTTTACATGCTTTGCAAGAAGAACGATTTCTCTAATAATCCTGTTTACATGGACACATCTGAAAACAGGCTCCCTGATAAATTCAGAAAATCGCCAATAAAAATACATGTTCTACCACAGCGAACATGTCATTTTCGGGAAGCATATTTGATTCTGAGTTAGGACAATAAGTTTGTATGTAAAAACTACTAATAAAGACGCATTCATTCAGTTTTTCCGAACTCACTTCACTCATGCTAAAGAGGGAGTCTCGCTCGGTTGGTGCTAGCACATGCGCAGTTCAAATACACCGCTAGAACGCAGAGAACGCCCCATTACAGTGTTTACGAGTGCGTTCGTAAATTCACTCTGGCTCTCTACTCTGATTTCAGAGTGCTCTCGTCTGATGGTGCGTTCGTATATTAATTTTGGCTATCTACTCCGATTTCAGAGCACTCTAGTTTGAGTGTACCTGAGGGCAGAATAACTGATGAATTTACGAACGGGCAACACCCGTTGAATATGACCGGTGTCAGTAAATGTCGGCAAATAAACATAATTAACTGCATAGTTACAGTCACCAACTCTCTAGATAACATGAACACACCCTAACCAGCTCTGCTTGGGCGAGTAAAATGGTCAGACTGAGGTGTTCTCTCATTTGTGACTGGAGGTAGCTAGCAAGCTAGCCAACTTTAGCCAGTTAGCTTGGGTGTTTGACTGCCTTAGCTCGGATCAACCATACTCCTCGGCCAGAGCGTCCAGTGTGCAGTCTGAACGTTCCGAGAGCGAAACGCTCTGAATTTACGAACGGACAATCTGATAACGCTCTGAATTTACGAACACCCAGAGCGCACTCTTGCACTCCATATTGAATTTACGAACACACCCTACATGTCCTAATAATTCGAAAGATTGCTCAGAAAACCAGGTGTTTTAATTGGCGTATGTTTACTTAGATTTTGACCATATGCAGATTAAGATAAGGGTAAGGTGATTACAGGACTATTGCATAATCAGCCTACCTCCATAATCAGTTTAATATCGAATTATTAGTGTGCACGTAAACGTACATGTTATATCACAATAACACTACAGTTCCCTATATGCCATGCTGTCACTGGACATGGGAAATGGGAAGATGGCGGAAGCGGATGATGAGGTAAAATCTTAATACAATGGCGGTAGAATCAAGGAGAATTGGAGTATTGTTCAAAATAATGGAAAACGTAGCAAAGTACGGTACAGTGATGAGAATGACCTTTCGTATCTAGTAGGAGTACGTTTTGTTAATAAGGAGTAGCTGAGCAGAGTACCAATCTTGAAGAAACCATTTGAGTTATCCAAACTGGTGGAGAGAGTGCTGGGTAAAGTGAAGGATGTGAGGAGGGCTTTTTTTTGTGATTCTGCGGAACAGAAGGAACGTGCGTTGTGTTTTAATCTATTTGATAAGTTTGAAGTGTTGTGTGTGTGTGTCTCTTCGGAACAAGGCACCCCTCAAGGGGGTTATATCTGGTGTTTCGTGGGAAGTTGATTTGGAAGAGATGAAAAATATTCCTGGAGTGATTGAAGCACGTCGGATGAGTCGAGTGGTGAATGGGGAAAAAGTCAAGATTTTATCTGTTCTTTTGGTTTTTGAAATGGAGTCTCTCCCTAATGAAGTGCGGCTAGGGTATATTAACTACAGAGTTAGAACATTTATCCCAAGACCAATGCAGTGTGAACATTGTAAAGCTTTTGGTCATGTAGAAAGTGTTTGCAGAAGGGAGAAGCCGAGATGTACAAGATGTGGAAAATATCATATTATGTGTTATAAAAGTGAAGAAAATGTGACATGTTGTAATTGCGGTGGGAATCATGAAGCCATGTCTTCTGAATGCCCCACAAGGGTAAAGGATAATGATGTGGTCAAAGTCAGGGTTGTACAGAGCATTTCTTATGCAGAAGCTGTGAAAAGGGTTGAGGGTTTGAATGTTGCACCAGAAGAGTCCATGGTAGTGGATAGGCCTTCACTGCAGGCTGCAGGGGTTGTCTTACACCAAGAAGATCAAGACATTTTAAAGGTTAAAAAGGTGGACTTTGGCCTTTATCGCAATGGTGATAAATGGCACTGCCAAGGTGGAGAAAATATTGAAATCATTGTGATTGCTGGGGCTGAAAGATTTCACAGGAAAGGAGTTACATTGAATATTAGCAAAAGCCGTACCACCTTCTCAGGTCCTAGAGCCTGAGAAGAGAGAGATGGAGAACTAAAAGAAGGAAGAACTGGGAGTTTTGGTTATTATTAGGGTTGGTTGTTAGACTCACTATTAAGTATGGATTTATTTATTGTAATTTTATTTTTGGTTTCAAAGCGTCCAGTTGGTGGCGGCAATACAACTTTTGGATATAGCCCGCCATAAAACCCACAGAAGAAGAAGCCAGGGTATTACGTCATAACCAATTGTGAGAACTCACTTCCTGGTGCCGGATCAGCGTGGGATAAAAATAAAAACTTCCGTTAGTTGAGTATGTTTAACTTAATTATAACCTCTAAATATACGATTATCATTGATTTTAACTGTTGTCGCTGTGCTTACTGCTAAACTAGATCAAAGTTGCTGGGGCGATGAAGCGGTTTTACAATGTAAATAAACTAGCTAGCTAGCTTAATTGTTTACAGAAGCTAACGTAACGTAGCTCACTACTGAGTTATGTAGCTAACTAGCTAAATCAGCTAGTTATTAGCTAATGTTCGTTGTAAAGAGACAATCTGTATTTTTCTTCTCAAGTACTAAAACCTTCCTTTAAACATAATTGCCATGGAAAAGCATACATGCTAGCTAACTACACGTCACCAATTTGTATATTAGCTAGTTTACTGTTTGATATGGAAGCAAGTCCCCGCAGCAATGTTCCAGCATCTAGTGGAAAGCCTTCCCAGAAGTGTGGAGGCTGTTATAGCAGCAAAGGGGGGACCAACTCCATATTAATGCCCATGATTTTGGAATGAGATGTTTGACGAGTAGGTGTCCACATACTTTTAGTAATGTAATGTCTCTGGTTGAGACTGTAAAATTACAGTGGCAGCTTGACTGTAGTGCACATTCTATTTTCCACTTGTATACCGCTAGGTATAAAGTATAGCATACAATATATCCAATGTGAATCTACAAGTGAAAACTAGCGTTTGGTTAGATTTGAAATCTGAAGCTGTGTGTGGACTGTAGCCATGGAGACTAGGCAACTTCCATGTTAGAATAGCATACCTGTTGGTGAGTAGAAATGTTACACACAGCTGTTAAATGTTCAGCAGGGCAACAGTGTGTGGGGAAGTGGTACCTTTGGAATATCCACTGAGTATACAAAACATTAACACCTTCCTAATATTGAGTTGAACCCCCCTTTTGCCCTCAGAACAGCCTCAATTTGTCAGGGCATGGACTCTACAAGGTGTTGAAAGCATTTCACAGGGATGCTGGCCCATGTTGACTCCAATGCGTCATACAGTTGTGTCAAGTTGGCTGGGTGTCCTTTGTGTGGTGGACCATTCTTGATAAATACGGGACAATGTTGAGTGTGAAAAACCCAGCAGCGTTGCAGTTCTTCACACAAACCTGTGCGCATGGCACCTACTACTATACCCCGTTCAAAGGCACTTACATCTTTTGTCTTGCTCATTCACCCTCTGAATGGCACACATACACAATCTATGTCTCAAGGCTTAAAAATCCTTTAACCTGTCTCCTCCCCATCTACACTGATTGAAGTGGATTTAACACGTGACATCAATAAGCAAGCAGAGCTTTCACCTGGATTCACCTGGTCAGTCTGTCATGGAAAAAGCAGGCCTAAACATTGTCTCTCTGACATTATTTCTTCCCATAATTGTTTAGTTTAGGATTGGATAATCTGATTGTAGATCCGTGGTTAAGTTTTGCCCCAAACTTCTAATTTGTTAAAATAATTATGTTCCAGATTTTGGATTGGAGTTGCTGTTGGCGATCAGGATGATTGACGTGCGGGCGTGGGCGGAGTACGTGGTGGAGTGGGCGGCTAAGGACCCGTATGGCTTTCTGACGACGGTTATCCTGGCGCTCACACCCCTCTTCATCGCCAGCGCCCTGTTGTCGTGGAAACTGGCCAAAATGATTGAGTCGCGCGACCGTGAGCAGAAGAAAAAGCAGAAACGCCAGGAAAACATTGCCAAAGCCAAGAGGACCAAAAAAGACTGAGCCGTAGAGGGAGGGAGAGAGGGAAGAGTAGCTACAGTACACAGCTATGCTCAACACTCTCTTTACTTGTCACACCCCCACCCCTCGTCTCCTCAACCCAGCCCAGCACAGGTCCCCATCCTATTACTCCTGTCCAGTGTAGGAGGCCTTATAGCGCTGAGGGAACTGTATAGACCGGGGAGGCTCATTCGATGGGACTATCATCAGCGGGTAAACGGGAATCGTCTGTATAATTCACGATATGGAGATCCACCATCTGAGCTTGGTGTTGTTGCAGTACTTTGCATTCCATTTGTAACAACTCCACTCCAATGATTTCATTAACTAGTAAAAAAACAGTTCTCCATTTGAATTTACTCATGTAAAAAAAATAAAAGGCTTTTCTCCTTGCACGTCAACCCTCCCCTAACCCTGCCTGAATGATGCTTAACTGAAAAGTTTGAGTTCCTGCCTGACTAGATGCGCAGGTGTTGCACAGCATCAACCAATGGTTGCATGCCATGTCATCAACTGTTCAGTCAGGCATAGATGGATGGCTATATCATGTGTTTTGCTGATAGTTAAACACCTATCCAAGTTTTTTTTTTTTACATCTGGCAGGAGTGTACTGTAGTCTGGCAGGAACTCGACCAAGAAGTGATCCAGGCAATTTTCATACATGGGTTTTATTCAGTGTGTTTTTAACATCTATTTTGCCACATTATGTTAAACCTGTCAGACTTGTCATTTCAAGAGACAATGTAACACACACTTCATGTAAAGGATGTCTTCTCCTGAGACCTGCAACATGTCTTTCAACCATCTTACATTTGTCATTTAGCAGACGCTCTTATCCAGAGCGACTTACAGTTAGTGAGTGCATAATTTTTTTTTTTTTTTTTTTCATACTATCTTGCGAGCTGTGTGATACCCTTTCCTTCATTTAATTAAAAAACAAAATTGGTTAAAAGGTTTGTAGTGTCGTGTGTTGGGGATGTGTATATATAACATACCAAATACGTAACGCCGTTAAATAAATTGCACCTTGTCACGCAGACAAATATTTAATATGTATGCCATTTAGCAGAAACTTTATCAAAATCAACTTAGAGTAGTGCATGCACACCTTGCTACCTTAAGACGAGTGCACTAACTGTTAGTCGCTGTGGATAATCGAACCCACCATCACAACATTGCGACCACCTACTTCCCAGCACTTACATCACATCCCAGTTCTCTCAAGCCTGGTAGTTTCATTTACAATCCACAACAAATCATCAAACAATATACCTTGATTACCTACAACATAACTTTATATACAAAGCGTTTACAGTACGTCAGGGAGATCAGATAAATTGTCTTCCACACCCCATGAATGCCATTCCCTGATTCAATGCAATAAAATGTTTTTTCAAATGAAGAGCAGAGCTCCTATTATTAGTTTACATCATAACCAGGGTCATGTTCAATAAACCACTTACGTCATGTTTTAGAGCGGAGTGACCGGTTTGCGTTGCCAAATGTTTTATGGTGTGCACTACTGAATACAACCCAGTACAGATCCCAAAATGCATGTGCAAAGTGATAAACAAATTAGTTAGTTGTGCAAGACATTTTATAGATAAAACCATAAGTAGCATATTGTTTTTAAACGTGTGCATGATTTTCTCAGACAAAACAAAAGCTGATTCAAACGGGGATGTGGCAGATTTCAAAACTCTTCCGCGAAGAACTCAGGTAGGATACAAATGACTATCCCCGATGAAAGGTGGCTATCGAGGAGGGGAAGACACGTTTGTTCGCCTGCTAACGAATTGGCATCTCCTCGGCCACTTATCAGTTTCTGGGTCACGGAAGAGAGGGTGGAGGACGGACTTCTGCTCAAATGAGAAAAGGCCATTGAAGCTGGCCAGATCGTGCTTCCTTCCCATCATCCTTTCTCTATCTTGCTGATTTCAATTGTTCAGTCTTTCCAGGTCGCCGATCCAAGGTGGAAATGATGGAAGGAAGCCTGTGAATACTCACATAGGGAGGGCCTATACTTGTTTACCCATGTCTAGTTTCTTGGATGTAGGTATGATGAGTGCATATGCACAATATGTATGTGTGTGGGCAAACTATGAATAGCACTGTATATAGCCTATGTGTGTGTATATATATATATATATATATATATGTGTTTTCTTGTATGTACGATAGTGTGTGTTAGGTACCAGTATCGTGATACTCAGAAATAACAGTCTAATCTTGCAAACACACAGTCTTCTGTTGTTACCGAGAGTCATATTTGTTTATTTTCACACAGCAGCAGGTTTTTAAAGTACTATGGAGCTCAGTTTGCTTCATGTTTTTATTTTTTACCATGGAAAATCCAGTATTGCGGTATCGTGACCCAGTGAGCGTGTGTGCGTGGCTATTTCTTGGCTGCGGGTGTCCAGGAGCCAGGCTGGAATGTGTTGGCTGTACTGACAGGCTCCTCGCTGGTCTCTGGCTGGCCGAAGCTGGTGGCGGCGGCGTGGCCCTTGGCTATGGTCTGAGTAGGCCGAGCCACCAGGCCCTCCTCGTACTCCTTAGCCTGCAGAGCCAGCTCTCTCTCTTCCACCTCCCTTGCCTTTCCTTTGATGTGCTCCCTGTAGTGCTGGTTTTTCACCAGCTCCTGTGTGGAGTACGGTACACACACACACACACACACACACACACACACACACACAATATTAACCAAAGCTTTTCAACAGAGACTCAGTCCTTTGAAGGGATAGCTACTAGTGACAGTGAAGTCCTCTCAAGTCATCCATAAGCTAGTGTCCAGTCTGTAGTGTTAGTCTTGCCTTGGCAGAGTCAGAAAGCGAGGGAAGCCTGGATGTGTTGCTGTTGTGTGTTGGCAGCAGAACTAGTGGGCTTGGAACAGCGAGGGGAGACCAGGGCCATACAGACCTGCTTTGGGGAGCGAGGCGAGCATATTGAGCCGCTTTTCCAGCTTGTTAATGACAGGATTTAATCCAATCAATTTATGTCGACTTGGACAGGGACGAGAGGAAACGTTAAGGGGACGTAAAGTGCAGGGGGAGTGGTTTTGGCTACACCACTGTCCAGCTGTGGACGACTGGGCAGATAGTAGGCAGAAAATTGGATTGTTCTGGCAACACTGAGGTGGGATGGCATTGGCCATTGGCATGGAATATATAGGCAGGGAGGTGCCTGGGTATTAGCCTTCCAAGGGATTTCCCATAGCCTCCATTTCAATGGATAAATAATAATTATCCTATAGTCAATAAGATGAACCTTGTATATCAACAAAGCTAAAACTGAATCTGGCTTATTTAGACTATAAAGGCAGTTATACACTGAGTGTACAAAACATTAGGAACCTTCCAGTGGAGGCTGCTGAGGAGAGAACGGCTCATAATAATGGCCGGAACGGAGCAAATGTGTTTGATACCATTCCACCAATGCCACTCCAGCCATTACCACAACCCCTAATATTGAGTTGCACCCCCTTTTGCCCTCAGAACAACCTCAATTCATCGGGGCATGGACTCTACAAGGTGTCGAAAGCGTTCACAGGGATGCTGGCCCATGTTGACTATAATGCTTCCAACAGTTGTGTCAAATTGGCTGGATACACACAGCAGTTCTTGACCCAAACCGGTGTGCTTGGCACCTACTACCATACCCCATTCAAAAGCACTTAAATATTTTGTGTTGCCCATTCACCCTCTGAATGGCACACATACACAATCCATGTCTCAATTGTTTCAAGGTTTAACAATCCTTCTTTAACTGGTCTCCTCCCTTTCATCTACATTGATTGAAGTGGATTTAACAAGTGACATCAATATGGGATCATAGCTTTCACCTGGATTCACCTGGTCAGTCTATGTCATGGAAAGAGCATGTTTTGTACACTCAGTGTATAATTTCAAGTCAATCGTCCTCTATTAACAAGGAAACATTAAGATGTCAGAGTTCAGGTGGGCCTTCGCTCTTCAGCAAACAAAGGAAAGGAGGGGTGCTCAACAACAATGACAAAAATCATGGCTTACCAAGAAAAACTTCCAAAAGGACTAATTAAGAGGTAAAAAGGAGTTGGAGCACTCAACAAAATAAGGCAGAGATTTATTTATTTTTGCTCGCTTTAATCCATTGTACAGGATGCGAAAAGATGACTGATGTTTCCTCTGAGGAAGACGTCAGCTTGACATCGAAATGTCAGTGATATTGCTGGGACTGTCTACACTCACTAGCACCATCACATGCCAGCTCCAGTTTATTTTTAACACCTGTCCCCCAAAGTTTCCTGGCTCTGTTGGAAACTGAGAGAAAGCAAATCAAAGTGTTTCTCTGAGCCTCTTCCCTACCGGTACCCCGTCCCATAGAGCCCCCCTCAAACACAGCAGTGATACGCACCTCAATGGAAGGGGGCTGCTTCCGTCTGCCTCGGATCCAAGCTGGATGAGGGAACAGACAGACGAGAGTTCGAACACCCACACTGCACACATACCACGCTAACAAAATTATCAGTTACACTTGATATCCAATGTAACGGCAGTTGTATGGCATCACACTTGTGTAATTACTCTATAGTTAAATTAAAACAGTATCTAACTGTAAGTGATCTGAAACCTTTCCTTTCATTACAATTCCAGCTTGATAGCCTACATGACAACAGCCAGAATTTGGCATCACTCTGATTTGCCAGTCTAAGCAGAAAGAGGACTGTAGTACTGTTACTGCATTTCAACTACTGTACTGCATAAAGCAAGAGACTGCAGATCTCTTCTCCTCTGATCCTTAGATAAACCTCTCTACATCTATCTATCTCTTCCTTCTTCTCTGTTCTTTCTTAGGTGTATTTTGGCAGGGCAGGCTCTGGAGAAAGAGAGAGATTTCCCAGCTTTTCCTTCAGCATGCCGGGACTCTAGACTTCTTATCCCCCTCTTATTAGCATCCTGATGAAAATGCATGAGAGAGGGATGAGGAGGGCTTAAGGTGGATAAAGCAAGTCAGAGACAGAACATGTTGTATCTAGTTGTATGGAAAATGGATAGGGTGACTTTGATACATTCATGAATACATTTCTGAATAAATAGCATAGGTGATTAATGTTAGTTCTAGTACAGTTGTTGTTGCCTAGCACTATTCTGTACTACAGTGTATTCCGAGCCCCAGATTCACAGGCTCCATGACACCATATCATGGAGACTAGCAGACATATATCTAAAGTGTCAGTGTTTCAACATTACCATCCCACTCTGAGGGTATGTTGCCTTCCAGGTACTCAAACTCTGTAGGGTTAACAGCCACCACCATTCGCTTGGCCCGAACAATCCTCCCTAAGAAAACAATCAGAGAAAGAGAGATATTCAAAAAAATATTAATGCATGAAAATACACGTGATCAAGCACAAAAAAAAACAACCCACACACATTTGAGATATCCTGCGCGCGCACACACACACACACACACACACACCATGGATGATTAGCTCGTGGCCCTCAGGCTTGCTTCTCAGATCTCTCCGAGTGTGTCCAAATCTGGGCTAAGCCTTATGTAAATCAACCCCCCTAACCCACCAACCACACACCCCCCCCTCACTGACACCCTCATCCAATAGCAGCCCTCCGCTAACAATGCCCTCCAAATCAACATCAAGCCTTATGGGAGACAAAAGAGGTCAGATTTCACAGGCAACACAAGAGAGATGAGCTGAGAGGAATACTAAAACACTCTCTCCCATTCTGTATCCTACAGCGCTAGTAACAACACCACCACCAATTATTTTGGGGAAAACCGCTGATTAAACAAGTCGAGCAGGCACAGTGACATTCAGGTGGAGGGAGGGTTGAAGGGATGGAAGGATGGAGAGAGGGTAAGAGAGGCACATGAGTTTAGACCATGATTCTTAGGATGCAGCTGTAGACGTTCTCACAAAATTCACTAATGAATGATGCCTGCCCTCCTGCCACACTGACATATCACATTCCCAAAAGTGTGTGTGTGTGTGAGTGAGTGAGAGAGATAGGGGTGGGGGCTCTACATTATAACTGTAGCGGCTAGAGAGAGAGCTGGTGCGTGGCGAATGCAGTGCACATCAGCTGTTGTGAAGGATGAATGGATGGACAACCTTCCACACACAGATCAATCTGTCAACATGCCATCCGCTTCCAAATACAGACCAATATGTCAACATTCCATCACCATTCCACTCCAGCCAACTCCATTAGTCTTCACAGAGCTGAACACCAGTGGACATGGACAAATGGCACCACCATCTCCAAACACACACACACACACACACACACACCAGACTGATGTTCCACTGATAACAGATAGATATGACATGTAGATGGATGGATAAGGTATGAAGTAGTAGTATGAAGGCTAGTCTACCACAGACCATATCCAACATGAAGCCTCCTCTCCTTAATTTGCACTGATCTTAAGACACAGGACAGGTGAAAGCAATAAGATGTATGCCAGGTAGGCCTATTTGCATTCACCTGTCACATTGTCCCATCACATCAATGCAGGTGAAGGAAAGGAGACAAGGAAAGGAAGGCCCTTTAGGCTATTGAGATACACCCATAGTAATCAGGCCTACTCCTCTTTAGTTCTTAGCTATACTCTAGACTCATGACTAGTGTACAGGCAGCTATGCTACAGTAGTTACATAAGCCCACTGCACAAAAGCCTACATAGTAGCTAAGCCTATCAGTTGGTTCAGCCTATGAGGAAAGAGATTGTATAATCGTTATATTTGTTTACATACAGGCCTTTATCATTCAGCTGAGAGCAGCTTCATAGGAAAACCCAGAGGACATAAAATCCAAACAAAAAGACTGGCATCTCTAGGTAATACCAACAAATACATTAAAACAGGTGATCAGCTAATTATAAACAGGTGTTATCCATATTTGCATTGGGTGTGGGTGGTGGAGGATAAATATGGTTAAATTATACTACAGTCCCTACAAGCGTTCTGCTTAACTATAGCCTAGCTAGTGCTTAAGCATAGAGAGAAGCAACCACCCCCCACCTCCCTCTCTCTAACACATTTACCTCCCCCTCTCGCTTTCTCCAACTCCCTCTATCTCTCTCGCGCTCTCTCTCTCTCTCTGCTTCCCTTTTCTTGCCACTTTTGCATTGCAGGCGTGACTAAATCATTCTACCATGGCTTCTATCCTTGGATTTTAATAACAAATATGTACATATATTTATGAAACAAGCCCATTCCTCCCACCACACTCGCACCCGTGCAAGCTTGCGGGCACACACACACGGGCGATTCTCATGAAACCAACTGAAACCATGTCTGTGATGAATTCAGCTACATAGCCTCTAAAGAATTTAAATAATTTACTATCATATTAAGGCTCACTTTGCTTGGTTTCTGGCTCTTTAAGTTGTTTTGAGCTTAAATCTTATTCTTGTGTTTTTTAAAGAAAATGTTTACTCAGTTTCATTACAGTAATGCTTCCGGGTCAATTTTGTAGGACTTTATATTCATTAAATTTATAGACATTACATATTTTATTAAAACCAATGAAATATTGTTTAAAAAGTGGTACATATTCAAAGAGAGTTATCATTTCTGGGTATTCACATTACAAACTAGTCATTTTTTACAAAACAATCGTGTGTCCGAGCACGTGTTTCTCATTACCTTAGCATTTCTGTACAAAGTAGTGTTTTTTTTATTACGTTATTTTCTACCCATAATGCATTACTAAGAAGAGAAGATCAAAGATGGCTACAAGGTAAGCTAGTCTTTTCTCATGTTTAAATTTGATAATTGTCCTCATTCACCCCATTTATCCATTTTAGATGATCATTATCGTAACTGTGTAATGTTTGAGCAAAATTATTGATTAAACTATTTACAGTATAATAGATTAGAAAGAGCATGAATTGATGTCAATAATGGCTTCTGCCATTGTTAGCTACATTTGCTAAGGGCTTCTCATTACCATGCCATATGGTTGTCTGTTACGGTAATTAGATGTTACGGTACTGATAAAAACTGTTTCTGATACATGTACAATGTAACTCCCATCACACTGTGTGTGCAACAGATACATCGCTAACCAAACAACAGTGCTATGTGCATGCACACTTGAATTAAAGGGTAACTTCACTCAAATATATTTTATTCATACATTTTTCCCAGACCTAAAAAAATGGTCTCCTGGGAAATCATTCTAAACAGCGCACCTGATAGCGGTTCCATACTTAGAAAAAGGGGGAATCTAACGATGGAACAACTAGGATGGGTTGCTAATATGACTAGGATTGTGCCTTTGGCTTCTGGACAACAAAATAAAGTTGATATGAAAGCCAATTGAACAGGAGAGAAATGGCATAGCGGTGGGGCCAAAAGGGAAGTAAATGGGAAAAAAAGTGTTCCAATTATATAATTACTCCTGTCTATACAGAATTAAATACAATTATTCAAAATCCTTCACCAGAAAGCATGATTTAGCCACAGAGGAATCGATGATCATTAGCTTCTTTAAAAGAATAGCTGTGGATTGTTCCAAATCACAGGCTCGTAGACCTATGCCTATTAGGGAAGCCCGCAACTTGGGCAGCGCGTTGCAATAGGCCTAGCTGATTATTGAGTTGAGGCTGTCAGTGAAAATAATCTAAAATATGTTTGAAGATAATGTGTCTTGAATATAATTACAAATGTTGAGACAAGAAGGGGAGGGGTGTGTGGCGAAGATATAGGCGAGTCTCTCTGCAGAATGGCTCAGCTGTCTCCCTCCAATTCTTGCGCATTCATTGTTTAAATTGTGTGAATTGTTTGCCCTTTGATATTAAAAATATTTTAAAAATCCCCATTACATATGTCACGAGTAGTAAATGTTGCGTTAATCCTCGTCATTTGGTTACATACATTTCTGTTAATGCATGTATTAATTACAGTAATTTACCGTTCTCATTCTCAGATTGGAAACGTTGTTTGCTACACTTGTGAGAAACAAGTTTTGGTTTATTTCATAACCATCATTTACGGTAATTGTCAATTATTTTAATTGTCTTTTGTTTGGAGTGCTCCATGTTAGCAATGAGCATTTGTATGGTTTCTCAGTCTTGATAATGTTGAGGCAGTGCGCGCACCTGGGCATGCATAGAAGGTACCTGGCCTGCTGCGCGGAAATATAGGAAAGTGTTGTTTTTTTTACATCAATTGCGAATGATAATATATTAAAACTATAGTTCCTCACAGTAAGCTATTTGAAAAATATTTCCAAAAGTCTCCCCCTCGATAATCACTAAATCCTCAGTGTGAAAGAGCGATTGAAGTTATAGGCCTATGGCTACATTAGCCTATAGGCTAGGAGTTCCATGCGCTCATTTTCTTTAGCCACCAATGGATCAAGGTGTATCAATGTGTCCATATGCCAGAGGCTGGTGATCTTGCATTAGTTGACTTTTAATTTTTAAAATTTCTAAATTTAAATTTAGATTGTTATGATTAACCACGTGATAATGACTTTGAGAAACGAAAACATTATTGAAATGAAACTGTTCCACGCAAATGTGCATATAAAAATAACTGGCACACAGAATGATAGAAATGGTAAGATAAATTGTAAGCTTCCCCAAACTTGAAACTCACTACCTATGAAGTCTTTATAAAATAATTACCTCACATTTCCGTGGTCGGATTTTGCCTATAGGCTACTTTGAAGCAAGGTAAGACATGCCTTATAATATGAAATAAAACATTCAGTTTGAAAACAATTAAAGTATGTTTTCAAAATGCATACTGTTTCCAGCTCACATTGTAAAGTTGTGGGTGACACGCTGTTAGCATGTTGTCTGCACTTGAATGGTGAACGGGAGCCGTGCTTCAATTACCAGTTGAGAAATAAAAATAGTACCTCTTTTTAAATAGTTCACCAAAACAGTTTTTAACACGCGATTCCACTTAGAATTGTTGCACAATGAATGGGCTTATAAAAGCACATTTTACTGCAGTAGCTACCAGCTGATGAGCTGCAGGAGAAATAGGCTGTGTATGCTGTGCGAGTGTGATAGTTGTGTTGGATAAATAAGATACATGATGACTAACGAAAATACACAGGCCAATTTAATTCCAATAAATTATGCAAATTATCCTATAGATCGATAAGCAAGATGATTAAAAAGCATTATTTTGCAAGGGGATTTATTTTCTCCCGGTCATTTTGGCCGGCAACAGTTTAAATTTAAATAGGCTTTTAATTTTTTGGGGGGCCAAAAGCCGGCAATTGCCGACTTATGGAAACTCTACCCACAAAACACGCAATCAGGGGTCTCTTTCA